ATCATAGAAAAAAAAATAGGAAGACTTATACTTTCTGATTTCAAAACTTAATACAAAGCTACAATCAAGACAGTGTTACAATAGCTTAATTATAATAGACATAAGATTGATGGAATGGAATTGACAGTCCAGAAATAAACCCTTACAGGCAATCAATTAATTTTGACAAGGGTGCTAGATGATTCATTGGGAGAAAGAATAGTCTCCAACAAATGGGGCTGGATAACTTGGTATCCACATGCAACAGAATGAATCTGAATATTTACCTCGCATCCTATACATAAGTTAACTCAAAATAGATCAAAGAACTGTAAGAGCTAAAATTATAAAACTCTTAACAAGTTAGAAATAAGACTTCATAACCTTGAATTAGGTTTCTTAGATATAATGACAAAGAAGCACAAACAATCAAAGAAAAATTGGACTTTTAAATTAAAACCTTTCGTGTTTCAAAGGACACCCACCATAAAGAAAGTGAAATGGGGAATTCCCTGGCAGTCCAGTGGTTAGGCCTCCATGCTTTCACTGCCAGGGCCCTAGTTCAATCCCTGGTAGGGTAACTAAAATCCCTCAAGTTGGATGGCGTGGGGAAAAAAAAAAAAAAAACCACAAATAAGTGAAATGACATCCTACAATATGGAAGAAAAGTTTTACAAATCATATATTTGATAAGGGATGAACTTTGGAAACACTATGCTAAGTGAAAAAAACTGGATTTAAAAGACCACATATTGTATGATTCCATTTATATGACATACCCAGAATAAGCAAATCCATAAGGGCAGAAAATAAATGAGTGTTTGCCAGGGATGAGGGGAGTGACTGCTAAAGCATTCTGTTGGGGTGATGAACATGTTCTGAAATCAGATGGTAGGGATGATGGCACAACTCTGTGAATACACTAAAAACCACTGCATTTTACACTTTAAAATGGTGAATTTTATTCTATATGAACTATATCTCAATTTTTAAAAATGCAGAAGACGAAGGCTGCCGATGGAGTAGGAGCAGGTGGGCAGAAATTCTGTGGAGATACCAGGCAGTGTGTCTTGTCCTCAGACAGAGTGGCTATACTTCAGCTCCTGCTTAAGAATTTTCTTTGAACAAGGAGTCCCCAACTCAAGAAGAGTGAAAGCCCCTAGCCCAATTGATCGACTGCAAAGAAGTTCCTCCTCAACTTCTAAGCTCTAGACTTGTGGAAAGATTGAATGAGGAGAGGCTGGGAAGCCAAAACACCGCCAGAGACCAGAGCCCAGACCAGGGTTGGAGTGTCACAAGCTGCATGGGTGGATGGAGCTCTGCCATCTGGCACAGTGTCCACTAGCAAGGCTCCCTCTGGCAGCATCTGGTCTCAGGGGGGAGCACTGATACATTTAAGAAGTCCAGTGCCATTCATAAACCTTCACTGAGCGTGTTCTGGCTTTCGCTCTCAGATGGGTTCGCCAAGTCCCTGTCAGACGGCTCAGACACAGGATGTGTAAACATGCGCTGCTCCCCTCTCTAGGACGGACCTGAGGCCATAAGCTCACTGTCTCTCAAGGGACAGCAAGACAGCAGCAGGGAAGCAGCTTTCAGCTGTGGGAAAGGAGGGCAAGGAGAACTGGTTACTACTGGGCACTCATTCTGCTCCAGACACCCAGGAACATGCACATCTATGGTTTAACCTCTTCCTCACAACATCCTTCAGCAGTAGGTGAAGGGGCTTGTCCCAGGTTCTTAGAGCTAGTATGCTGTGGAACTAGAATATGAACCCAGATTGGAAAGTCTGCTTTCTGGAGAAGCTGGGAATTCACCCAGAGCTTTCCACCTAAGCCCCTCCGCCAGACCATTTCTAGCTCCCACAGTTTACACATTACTTGTTCATTCATTCATTTATTCTATACATTTCCCCAAACAGGCATTTGGTGCTAAGTAACATGTTAGGCAGTGGGTCAGATGGTAAAGAATCTGTCTGCAGCGTGGGAGACCTGGGTTCGATCTCTAGGTTGGGAAAATCCCCTGGAGGATGGAACGGCTACCCACTCCAATATTCTGCTGGAGAATTTCATGGACAGAGGAGCCTGGCAGGCTATAGTTCATGGGGTCGCAAAGAGTCGGACACGACTGAGCAACTTTCACAACAACAACACAACAACATGTTAGGCAACAGAAACACAAACCCAAATACCCGAACAAGGCATAAGCCCTGCTCTCAAGGATTTATAATGTAACGGGAACCAGTCCTGAATCGAGACATAAGACCAAGAGCTGAGTTAACTATACTACCAAGGGAAACCCTGTAGTAGCAGTCTGATAAGATGGTAAGTAGTTTTATCATGAGAATGACAATTCAAGGTTTGGTGACATGCAGGGGGGTGGGGGCAGGGAAAAGTGGGGAGGTGGCAAATAGATTGTCAATTCTATACTCATCCCCCACCCTGTCCTGTAAATGTGTGCGGTGTGGGAGAGTGAGCTGAGGGGGAAGTGGTATTCTGGGGCACGGCTTCTTGTCAGCCACAGCAGGAAGTGGAGGGAGGGCTTGTCAAACATACTGAGGTTTAGGGGAGTTTATTGACTATAGAGCTTTGGTTTGGGGGGTTCAGTCATAAGGGTCTTCGGAAAGGGGGCAATAGTTGCCTGAAAGGGAGTGAGTTTGGGAAGAATGTAGACCCTCACGGCAGTGTAGAATGACAGGGGTGAGAGACTGAGGGGCTGAGGCACTGTGGTCCAGACTATGGCCCAAGTACATTTCATATTCTGAGGTTTCTGAGGCTATTTTCAGTACAGGAAACGAGCTATGTTCTCTGTTCAGCATACCAAATAGAATATGGGGGGACATTTGTTAGGGAGTGAGAGGGGGAAAGTCAGTCTCAAACCAGGCTGGAAGCCACCAGCACTGTGTGAAAGGGAAGAATTTAGCCTGGAGTCGAGAAGGGAGGTGGCTATTAGGTTTAACTCAAAGCTTGACCTTCAGTCGGTTTTCCTTATCCTCTTAACTGGCTACTAGTCTGTTCATTTAGAGAATACTTATTCCCCTTCAAACTTTCTGTCCCCTATCATAGTTTCCAGTTAATATCTGGCTTAACAGAGAAGCAGCATGCTGCTATGGAAAGAACTTGGAGCATGGTATCAACAGACTAGAGTCCAGTGACTTGATTAAAAGTCTCAGTTCTATAGCCAACCAGGGATGGAATCAGCCAGCACTAGAATTCAGGATTTAGAACTACACTTTTTCCATGCTTCTCAGCTGTATCATGTACTGCAGAGCCTGACTTTCTTAGCTTTCCTGAGGGGCAGTTTCCTCATCTGTACAAATACTTTCCTCAACAATACCTACCTTACAGATGGTTGAGAAGACTAAATGACATGTGAAACCCATAACACAGTGTCTGGCCATAGGGTGCCCCGAATATTTTTAAAAATCATTTTTATCATACAAAAATTTCTTGGCTCTATGGCTGCACATTGTAGATGCTTAAATGACTATCTCACTACACATGTTATAGGATGGATTGTGTCCTCAAAGAATTCACACACCGTTAAAATCCAAGTCGCATTACTTCCGAATTCACTGTATTTGGAGAGAGGGTCTTTAGAGAGAGAGGTAATTAAAGTAAAATGAAATCTGTAAGGTGTGCCTTAATCCAGTGTGACTGACATCCTTACAAGAAGAGGACATTTGGACACAGACTGTATACACAGGAAAAACCATGAGAAAGCACAGGGAGAAGATGTCATCTATATGCACAAGAGCAAGCTCTCAGAAGAAGAAACCAATGGATCTTGGATGTTTAACCTCTATAACTGTAATAAAATTACTTTTGGCTGTTTAAAACACTCAGCCCTTGATACTTTGTAATGGCAGCTTTAGCAAACGAGTACAAGATATACACATTGTACCTTTTTTTTTTTTTTTTTACATTGTACCTTTTTAACTGGTGGCTGAGAGCTGCCTTATTCTCAAGACTAGAAACTACTTTTGTCCTATGTTCTCCAACTCAAAGTCCCAACTAAAAGTCCCAAGGATGCTGGGTCTTCTGGGCTGACCGTGGAGCTGGGAATTGCTCCTTTGACTCTTGGCTGCTGCCGTGAAGTCATCCAAGAAAGCAAAACTTTCTCTCTGAAGTGACTGGTGACTTGCTGAGCAGTGGGCACAAAGAAGGAACGCAGCATTATCACAGTCCATCCCCGTGGTACTTTCGGCTGCAAGGGTGGGGAAGGGCACCTATGAGTACACTCTCGGATGAAGACATGGAAGGAAAACGCTGCGTCCCTGTGACCCCGGTGTTCTCCGTCCCAGGACAGTGGAGAAAGAGGAGACAGAAGAGAATGAAGTGGTCCGAGGTGGGAGGAAGGAGGAGAGGTGTCCGACGTGAATCTCAAGACACTTTCCACCGACGGAAGCGGAGAGCTGTGTCCTGATCAGCGGAGTCTGAAATGGCGACCTTCCTCCGGCCACCGGGTGTTGGGAGACTCTGGGTGGATAGCGCGTAGCCCCCCGCCCCCGCCCCCCGGAGCCCCGCGGGAGAAGGCCGCCCGGGGCCACAGGGCTGTGCGGGCGGGCGCGCGCGCCCCCGACAAGTCCTCGGGGCTCTGCCCTCCCCGGGCGCGCGCCCGTGCCCTCCCCACCCGGCCCCTGCCCCACGCCGGGCTGGGTGGACCTGGCGTCCCGGGCCGCGCACGCCCCCTCCGCGAGCCGGGACCCCGGGCCGCGCGCGCCCCGCGCCCCGCGCCCCCTCCCCGCCCGGCGGGCGCGCGCGCTGGCTCCCGCTCCCGCTCCCGCTGGCAGCCGCGGCTGCGGCGGGGATTGTTTTTGTTGTCGCTGAGGCCGGAAGAGCCGCGGGAGCCGGGTCCCTGTCCCCGGGCCGGGCGCCGCCGCCGCCCCTTGCCCAGTGCCCGCGTCTCTGCGGCGCACCCCGAGCGCCAATATTCCGGAGATCAAGCGTTACGCGGCGGCGGCGGCGGCGGGGCCCGGAGCGGGAGGCGCCGGGGACCGGGGCGAGGCGGCCCCCGCCGCCGCCATGGAAGCGCTGGGACCGGGTGAGGAGCGCGCTCGAGCCGGGACCCGGACCGGACCCCGGGAAGCCTGGGCGAGTGGGAGGGCTGGCCGCTCCCGGTGGCCCGGATCGGCTCGTGGGTACCTGGGTTGGGCCGTCAGGCCTGGGGGGACGGGGCCGTGCCCCACTGCACAAGGCGGAGGGAGCTGACCCCGGCCTCGGGGGGCGGGCGAGGGGGGACGGGTTCCGCGCCCCAGACTGGAGAGATGAGCCAGGTCTCTAGGTCTAAGGAGGGGGAGGCCCAAGAAGGTGACCCGCGTCCCTAGGTAGAGGGGAGAGCTGACCCAACCTCAGGGAGGTGGTTTGTACTCCAGGGTGGAGGCGAGGCCAGTCTGGGTCACAGAAGGAAAGACTGTGCCAGGTACGCAGCGGGGGCCTGGCCCGGACCTGACCGGGAAGGACTCCACCACCAGGGATATTTTGGCTTGGGGCCGCACCCCTATTTTTCTTTGCCCTGGCAGACAGTCCTGAGCCGTCAGATAAGGAAGAAGAACTTCCCCTAAACACTTCTCCTTTGCCCTGAAGGCAAGGGGCAAAGTGCCCACCCTTTCTCAAAGGCCCTGAAGTCTCGAGGAGCATGTTTCCGTGTCTCTGTCTACCTGTCATTCTGCGCAGCAGACCCGCAGCGGTCTGTCCTAGCGCCTCCGTGACAGGCGAGTTACCCACCGGCGACTCCAGCTCAAGCTTTAATGCCCTGAGTATCTTCTAATTGGGTTAGAAGTAGTTGTGAGGATCAAATGAAGGAGAAAGTGCTTTGGGAACTGTAATTCCTCATCGTTATGAATGGCCTCTGGTTATCTCCCCAACTTTGCCCAAACCAGAAGAACCTTTCCAAGTTGTAACAAATGCCCTGCAGGTTGGAGTCTGGTGCTCCCACTTGAAATCCCAAGTTTCTAATGTAGGTCAGGGCTTAGGGGGTCTGTGTTAGAATTAACTTTAATATTATGCCTTATCTACATAGTTGATTTAGTTGTAGAGCATTTCATTTTTTTAGTGCATAGAAAATTCAGTCTACCATTTGAGTTTGGAAACTTTGTAGGTGTGTTTGCTTAAAACTTGTTTACATGGCTGACTGATCCAACTCCACCTTAATTTGCTGTTTAGAATATTTTTTAAAGGACTTCATAATCAAATTTCATATGCCTCTTAAAAATAAATTGGTTTTGTCGCATTAATATTACTTGATAAACCTCAGTGTGAGTATTACACTGGGTTACTTCAACTACATCCTCCAGCTAAAAGCAGGATCTGGTCTTTAGGAATGTAACAGACTTCTGTTCAAATCCAATCTAGTAATTTAATAGTTGTATAACCTTGGGCAAATTATTTAATTCCTTTGAGCTTTCATTTCCTCAACTATAAAATGAAAGTAGTAATAATTATGTGCTGCAAGACTGCTGTGAGAATGAAATAAGGTAATGTATGTGAGAAGTCTTGTTGTAGATAGTAATGCATTGAAAATACTCAGCAAATGTTTCTTCCCTCCCTTCCCTGTTAGTAGGTCATAATTGAGCCAACTGTTGGCTTTATGAGCTGACATTGAAAGAGGCTATGTAACTGTATACAAACTAAATTTCACGGAAAAGATCAGTCTAGTGTTAGGAACATCCCAGGGACTCTTTTTTTTTTTTTTTTTTTGGTTTGATTTTAGCTTTTGCAGGTTTGAGGGCTTATCAGTTCACCCAGGATTATGGAAAATTAATTCTCACTAACCAAATTTACGAGATACTAATGAAAAAGCCAACACAGATCTTTTCTGTTGGTTGGAATATTTTCTTGCCTGCTGTCTAGCAAACTCCATTTTTGGTGTCACAGTACCTTGGAAACCCAATTAATAACAAGAAGCTGCTTGTTGAGCAGAGGATCAGAGCAAAGGGAGTTTCTAGTCTTGTGGGATATTTCATCCGGGCTAAGAACCTGGAGAAGCTTTCTTGCTTCTTTGCTGAAGCACATGGAGCACTCTTCTCTCCTCACCTGAACAATCACTGAAGCATGTTTAGTCTTGCTCTGCACTCTCTCACCCAGTTTCAATTTCTAACAGCAGCTAGGAAGTTTTAGATTAGATTACCATGTATTTTGTTTATATTAATAATAGGGCTTCCCTGGTGTCTCAGTGGTAAAGAGTCTGCCTGCAATGCAGGAGACTCATGTTCGATCCCTGGGTTGGGAAGATCCCCCGGAGGATGAAATGGCAACCCACTCCAGTATTCTTTCCTGGAGAATCCCATGGACAGAGGAGCCTGGTGGGCTCAGTCCATGGGATCACAAAAAGAGTCGGACATGATGAGTAACTAACACTGTCATATTAATAGTGCATGCGTGCTCAGTTGTGTCCAACTCTGCAACACCATGGACTGTAGCCCGCCCTGTCCATGGAGTTCTCTTGACAAGGATACTGAAATGGGTTGCCGTTTCCTACTCCAGGGGATCTTCCCCACCCAGGGATTGAACCCAACATGAAATTGAACCCATGTTTCTTACGTCTCCTGCGTTGGCAGGTGGATTCTTTACCACTGTGCTGACATTTATGTTTTACAGTGCTTTACAGTTTGGAAAGTGCTTTCGTAGCTGTTAGTTCATTTGATCCTCTGTGAGGTAGGTAAGGAAGGTATTATCCCCATTTTACAGATGAGGTTCAGAGAGCTTAAGTGCCTTTATCGAGGGCTCAAGGCTAAATGATGAGGATGAGTGTGGATCACCTGACTCCTAGTCTAATGCCCTCCTCTTCTGTTAAGCTGACTTCGTCCAGTCTGTGTTGAGTCATAGTAGTTACCTTTTTGGAAGATGTAATTCTCAGACTTTGTCACTAGATTCTTGAGATGCTCCCAACATGAGGACGTTTGAGAAATAACTGTAATGTTTATACAAGTGCAATCATAATAGCTAACACTTATCGAGTACTTACCATTGTGAGGCACTGTGTTAAGCCTTTTGGGCTTCCCATGTGGCGCTAGTGGTAAAGAACCCATCTGCCAATGCAGGAGCCTAAAGAGATGTGGGTTCGATCCCTGGGTTGGGAAGATCCCCTGGAGGAGGGCAAGAAACCCACTCCAGTATTCTTGCCTGGAGAATCCCATGGACAGAGGAACCTGGTGGGCTACGGTAGTCCATGGGGTCACAAAGAGTCGACACAACTGAAGCGATTTAGCACAGCATGGCACATCAAGCCTTTTATATACATTACCTCATGAGATCCTCACAATAGCCTTATGAGATAGGTGCTATTATTATCATTTTTATTCTTCCATTTTGTAGATGAGGAAACTGATTGGCTAAGAAACTGGCCCTAGGTCATGCAGTTAGGGAGTGGTAAAACCAGAGTTGAAACCCAGGCAGTTTGGCTCCAGACTTTATTTCTTCAGAAGTCATTTTGATAAATTCAAAGAAACCAGCTTTGGGGATGGAAAAGTTTAGAAGATATTTTTCTAAATAAATCTTCTAAACTTATTAAAAGGAATGATCACTCATGTTCTAACTTTTCTCTCTTGCCATGGAAGAGGAACACACTATTTGCTTTTCTCCACTTCTTAATCCCTTTCCTTCATTTACTCTGCCTCTGTCTCTTTAAAGAGCATCAAGTACTTCTGAGAGGTATAGATGCCATAGGATTGTGAAATATACTGAAGAAGAGAAAGCCCTGAACTGGGAGTTAGGGGACCTAGATTCTAGTCGTGATGTAAAATCGAAATCATATGTCCTTGGGCAAGTCATTTGATCCAGATTTCTGTTCGCAAATTTCTATCATAAAGCTGGATTTGTGATACAATGATTACTTAAGTGTGTCTTGGAATATGCAAGGCTGACTTATCTATATGATTTAGTTGGGTGAATTCAGTATGCCTGTCCACCTCTGATGTTATTTATTATCTACTTCTTACATTGTTTATAAATGCCTTATCACACCCAGAGTAGATCCCCTTGTTCACCAGAAATGGAACTCAACTCCAAGAAATATTTTTAGTATAAATTACGTGCTTTTGTTTTAATGAAAAATAATCAATTCTTTAATTTTAGAAATGACTAGGTTTCTGTTTATTTTCTATCTGTACTGCTACAGAGATTATTAGTATTGTTCAGTTCACCATTTACTGAATTCCTACAATACACTCATCATTGAATTAGGTTTTACGATAACTTTGAATTGAAAGTCCATTTCTTCTAAGAGTTTACAGTCTAGTGAAGGAAACAGTAGTTTAACAAGTTGTTTCTAGATACTTGTCCTACGTGTTCCCTATACAAAAGATCTTGGGGACACAGAAGATGCATCCTCTAGCTTAGGAGAGTCTGGAAAAGCTTTCCAAGGAGGTTGCACTTGACCAGAGTTTTGAAGGATGAGTATAATTCAGGGGAAGAATGAACAGTGAATTTAATACATGAAAAGATTTTCAGTATTTTAGGAATTAGTGTGTGGTGATCTGTCAAAACAAATTTCATTGAAGTGTTTGCTTTGATTTTCCTAAGTGATATTGGACCAGAACAGCTTCTTACTTCAAAGTGTGCTCTCCTTGGTGAATTGTCTTTGTTCTTGGTGAAATACCATTGCAACGAGAGAACCTGTTGTAACTTTCCTTTGTAAATACAGCTCACTTTACTCAACACCTATTCAAAGCAGAAAAAAATGTTTATTTTTTGGACCAGTGTCTATTTGACAATATCATCAAAAAGGAATAAGGTTTTCTGTAGACAGGTATTTCCCAGACTGTTTCTTTAAACCCTAATTTACTTACTGACTATTGATAGATGTTTCATTTTAAAAACAGAGAAAGAGTTAGTGTGTATGTGCATGTGTGTGTGTTCTGGGGAAAAATAAGCCAGGTAAATGATGAATTAAACAAGCTTATTTATTACATGACTTGTTAGAGAATTTAATATGATAATATATATATTGGAATTTTAAGAAGGAGAGAGAATAAGCAGGGTTTTTTTTAGCTTATGGAAACCTTTATTTTTTATAGAATATCTTGTAAACCATCAATAGAATAATTTGGAATGACTGCTCTATCTAGACCAGGGTTTCTCAGCCTCAGTACTATTCGATACTTTGGACTGACTACTTCTATATTTTGGGGGGCTGTCATGTGCTTTGTCAGTATCACCCCCAATTTGTGACAATGAAGAAGGTCTCCACATATTTGGCAAATGTTTACTAGGTGACAAAAGCTCCCCCAGGTTGAGAACTGCTTGCTGGTCTAGACTGTCAGTTCCTTGAAGGCAGAGGTTCTTTGTTTTTCTTGAATCTACAGTACAGCTTAGACGTGGAATAAATGGATAAATGTTTGTTGAAGAAATACACTAAATCTTATGGTCAGGAAATACCAGATTGTCCAGATTTTTAAAATACCAGGTTATAAGGAAGAAAGTCTAGCCTCATTGGTATTGTTTCACTGTCTAAATTAGCAATTAAATTGATAAAGATAGCTGCTATTTAATCTCTGAGTCTGTACAAAACTATAATAATCAAGCTAATTTGTGGAGGATTAATGGATCATCTCCAGCCTGAACTGATGATGGCCTCCAGAGTTTAGAGATGATTTTATTTTAAAATACATACAATTTTGTAAGCCTAGCTGTAGATCTACTGATACTGATAAAAGGTTTTAGACAGTAGAGTGCATCTGAGAGTTCATCATATTGTATCTACTGTTGACATCCCCCATATTCAAAATAATAGCGGCGTGGAAAAAATATTTAGAAATCTAGAGAATCTTAGGCCAAAAAGCTTTTTACATAACTTTTTATATCGGAGGATGTTCAGCGAATGATAAGATCACAATGATTGTAGCTGTTTTTGTTTTGTTTTGGCTGGGCTGCACAGCTTGTGGGAATTTAGTTCCCTGACCAGGGACTGAACCTGGGTCCTTGGCAGTGACATTGCAGAGTCCTAACCACTGGACTGCCAGGGAATTCCCAGTTGTAGCTATCATCATCATCATCATCATCATGAAGGGAATATTACCCTTCACAAACAAATAGCAAATCAAATAACCTTTCAATCTCTTCAGGGCCTCCAGCCAGCCTTTTTCAGCCACCTCGTCGCCCTGGCCTTGGAACTGTCGGAAAACCAATTCGACTGTTAGCTAACCATTTTCAGGTTCAGATTCCCAAAATAGATGTGTATCATTATGATGTGGATATTAAGCCGGAAAAACGGCCTCGTAGAGTCAACAGGTAAGGATTAAAAAGAATAGACTTATATATGTATTTAAATACACATCATTTATTTATTATGAATCATCTTGTTCTCTAAACCCTTTTAACATGTAGGCTTTGTTTTTCTCTAAGATGGTGAGTTTCTTGATAGCAGATATGCTATCTCATACTTGGTTCTCCTTCATAGATTCTAGCAGAGTACTGGATACATCATCTTTCAGTCAGTAAATAATGAATGAAGAATGGTCCCTCTTTCACTGTCCAAAGGTGGCAGAAATTTATAAAAAATAGATGAAACCGTTGATGTCTATGGAAATAGATCTGAAAATTCAGATTTTGTTATTAAGTGTTGGTATTGGACATGAGAAAAATATAAGTGTAAAGACAGAAGAATCATCTTGGGGTATTGAAGCTCTGTTTAATTCTAGCATTATCCAAGAGGGGTCTAGATAGGATGATTTAAGTATTGTGGTCTGTATATCAGGAATTTACCAAGGGTGAAGATATATCCCTATAACAGATCTTCTTCCAGTGTGCTGAGATCACTCACTTTCCTTGTTTCTGTATCTTCACTAATATTCAGTCTTTAACATTATAGTTCTTGCCTTTTCAAGAATACTTTTACTGTCAAGTGAAATATTTTTTTTGTGTGGCTTGATTTTTTTCTCATTGTGGATCAATTTTTTGACTTTCTGGTGTAGTTCATTCTCAGGTAAGCCTTTAATTGTTTGACTGTTGTATAACTGAAGCCAATAGTAATAGAAGCGATGGTAATGGCTAATATTGATGCATTCAACATATAGTGCTCGTTATGTGTCAGGCATTGTTCTGTGTTCTGGGAATATAACATGAAAAAAACAGGCAAAAGTTCCTACCCTTGAGGAACTTACGCTATAATGGGGGAAAAGTCCAAAAATAAATGAATAAACAAATAAAACATATTATTTGCTAATTGATGATAACTTCTATGAAGAAAAATAAAACAAGGATGGAAGATACAGATTGAGGATGGGTCATTGATTTTATGTGTGTGTGTGTATGTATAGATACATACATATGGTATATATGTATATTGTAAACATGTATATCTTAAGACAGTAAAGAATCTACCTGTAATGCGGGAGACCTGGGTTCGATCCCTGGGTCAGGAAGATCCCCTGGAGGCGGGCATAGCAACCCACTCCAGTATTCTTGCCTGGAGAATCCCCATGGACAGAGTAGCCTGGCTGGTTACAGTCCATGGGGTCTCAAAGAGTTGGACATGACTGAGCGAGTAAGCATGTATATGTGTTGCACATATATTATGTAAGATGTGTGCATGCGTGCAGGTGTGTATATAGATGTGTGCATATTATGTGTACATGTAATATACACATTATATGTATGTGTGTGTGTGTATGTATGTTATAATAGTGTAGTTAGGGAAAGTCTCACTGAAAAGTGACATTTGAGGCGAAACCTAGAGGAGGTGAGGGTTATCTCCTTGAAGGGAACCCCAGGCAGAGGTAGCAGCTTGCATGGTGTATTCAAGGAATAGCAGATAAACCCTGTATTGCTGGAGTAAGTGCGGGGGAGAGTGATAGAGAAACTCCTAAGGGCCTTATCATGCAGAGTCTTGTAGGTCGTCCTAGGAGTTTAGTGTTTACACTGATTAGATGGATTTTGAGTAGACATTTGATATGACTAACTGAGATTTTGAATGGATCGTTCTGGCTGCTGTGTTGAAGATGAAGCCTGGCATTAAGGCTGAAAAGCCGAGAAATCAATTAGGAAGCTCTTGTAATGATTCAGGTGAAAAGGGCTGGTGACTTGAACCTGGGTTGTAAAAGTGATAGTGATAAGAAGTGGTCAGAGTCTACAAATATTTTAAAGGTGGTGTCAGCAAGATCTGTTGGTGGGTTAAAGGTGAGGTATGAAAGAAATGAATCGTGGCTGATTCCAAGGTTTTTGTAGTGACCAGAGGGAAAGAGGGAGTTGCCATGTATGGAAATGGAGAAAACTACGGGAGAGGCAGCAGGGGTCGTAGTTATTGAAATGTTATGATTGAGGGGTCTGCTAGACATCTCAGCGGAGACCTCAAGCAGGAAGTTGAATACATGAGGTTGGGCTCAGGTGCCAGGTTATAGGCTGGAGACAGACATTTGAGAGTCATCAGCATATTGGTGGTAAAACCATGCGACTGGGTGAGATCATGTAGGAAGTGAGTGTGGTTAAAGAAAGTGAGACTCCAAGACTGAGTCCTGAGGTAACAGTGCTTGCAGACTGGGGAGGTGAGGAAGAATCAGCAAGGAGACTGGTGGCATGGGGAGAGGCCACTGGGATGAGGGAAAACCAGGGCAGAGTGAGGAGGCAAGGGAAGAAGATATTTTAAGCTGAAAGAGTTGATCATCTAATGTTCAAGGAGCATTGAAGTTTGCAATGTGGGGCTCACTGGGGACCTTTCCTTTTATTCCCTCCTTTTCTGTTGTCATACCATGATTGCTTTTGTTCACTTTTAAGTTACTTGAATCTGTAACTTTAACTCTTGCTTTTTCCAAAGAATTTTGATTCTCATATTCCAGGCAGAACTGGCCTGGGTCATCTTTTTATTTTTTTGCTCTGAGCCATTTTTAAACTCTTTATTGACTTTGTTACAATATTGCTGGCATCTTAGCTCCCCAACCAGGAATTGAACCCATACCCTCTGGGTTCTCCAGGAACCCAAGTCTTAAGACTTCTCCAGGAGGTCTTAACCACTGGACCACCAGGAAGATCCTCCAAGGAGTTTTGACCTGAATTTAGATAATTAAGGTATAATGACAGTTTCCTGTTCACCACCATTTCTCAGAGCTAACCTCCACTGTCTCCATTACTGTTAAGGGAGGTAGTAGACACAATGGTGCGACACTTCAAGATGCAAATATTTGGTGATCGGCAGCCTGGCTATGATGGCAAAAGAAACATGTACACAGCACATCCACTGCCAATTGGACGGGATAGGGTAAGTGTTAACAGCAAGAAACATTTATTAGACTTAGGTCATTTAGTAGTAATTACTTAGGACAAAGATGTTTCCCTTTCTAATGACAATTGAATTCTTAAAGCTGTTTCTCATGGTGATGATAGATTTGTTATTCTGTACATATTCTTTTGTTTTTTAATTAATCAATAATTGACTGTTAGAATTTAGGTTGATTGTTTCCACAAACTGTGGAAAATTCTGAAAGAGATGGGAATACCAGACCACCTGACCTGCCTCCTGAGAAACCTGTATGCAGGTCAGGAAGCAACAGTTAGAACTGGACATGGGACAACAGACTGGTTTCAAATCGGGAAAGGAGTACGTCAAGGTTGTATAGTGTCACCCTGCTTATTTAACTTATATGCAGAGTACATCATGTGAAATGCCAGGCTGGATGAAGCACAAGCTGGAATCAAGATTGCTGGGAGAAATATCAATAACCAAAAAAAAAAAAAGAAATAACAATAACCTCAGATTTGCAGATGACACCATCCTTACGGCAGAAAGCGAAGAAGAACTGAAGAGCTTCTTGATGAAAGTGAAAGAGGAGAGTAAAAATGTGGCTTAAAACTCAACATTCAGAAGACTAAGATTATGGCATCTGGTCCCATCACTTCATGGCAAATAGATGGGGAAACAATGGAAACAAGGACAGACTTTATTTTGGGGGGCTCCAAAATCACTGCAGATGGTGATTGCAGCCATGAAATGAAAAGATGCTTGCTTCTTGGAAGAAAAGTTATGACCAACCTAGACAGCATATTAAAAAGCAGACATTACTTTGCCGACAAAGGTCCATCTAGTCAAAGCTATGGTTTTCCAGTGGTCGTGTATGGATGTGAGAGTTGGACTATAAAGAAAGCTGAACACTGAAGAATTGATGCTTTTGAACTGTGGTGTTGGAGAAGACTCTTGAGAGTCCCTTGGACTGCAAGGAGATCCAGTCAGTCCATCCTAAAGGAAATAAGTCCTGAATATTCATTGGAAGGACTGATATTGAACCTGAAACTCCAATACTTTGGCCACCTGATTCGTAGAACCGACTCATTTGAAAAGACCCTGATGCTGGGAAAGATTGAAGGTGGGAGGAAAAGGGGATGACAGAGAATGAGATGGTTGGATGGCATCACCAACTCGATGGACATGAGTTTGAATAAGCTCTGGGAGTTGCTGATGGACAGGGAAGCCTGGCATGCTGCAGTCCATGTGGTCGCAAAGAGTCAGACACGACTGAGTGACAGAACTGAACTAGTTTCATCTTTACATATGTTCCAGCTTTCGCACAGTGTGAAAGTGCCACCTGAATCTGAACAGTAGAATTTTTATTATTTGTAAAATATTGTGTAACACTTATGAAAATATTTATAATGCCACAATACCTTTTTAAGACATTTGCTCTTAAAATTTAAAAGCAATACATAATTATGTACTCGTTATAAACTTATTCAGACAGTCTAGAAATGCTGTGGTTTCCTGCTTCCCCACCTGCTTGCATCCTCAATCCCATTTTCATTTTCAGAGGAAGCTACTATAATAGTTCAGTATGTGTCCTTTCAGATATTTTAATGTGCATTAGCTATTTATGCATGTTTGTTGTTGTTGTTTAGTCGCTAAGAGGTGTCTCACTCTTTTGCTACCCCATGGACTGTAGCCCGCCAGGCTTCTCTGTCCATGGGATTTCCCAGGCAAGAATACTGGAGTAGGTCGCCATTTCCTTCTCCAGGGGATAGTCCTCGCCCAGGGATCAAACCTGTGTTTCTTGCATTGCAGGTGGATTCTTTACCACTGAGCCACCAGGAAAGCCCATTTATGCATGTTTATATATATTATTATTTGTTTGCATGTTGTTCTGTGATTTATTTTTTCATTTTTCACTTAACAATATATCTGGGAGATCTTTCCATCTCTGTACATTTACATTTACCATACTTTTAAAATTTTTTATTGTGGTTAAATAATATACAACATAAAATTTACTATTTTAACCATTCTTAAGTGTACAATTCAATGGCATTAAATATATTCATATTGTTATGGGACCATGACCACTGTCCATCTGTAGGACTTTTTATCATCCCAAACTGAGACTCTGTACCCATTAAACAGCAGCTCCCTATTTCCTCCTCTCCTATCTCTGGTAACCACTATTCTACTTCTAGTCTTTATGAATTTTTTCTAGGTACTTCATGTAAGAGGAATCATACAATATTTGTTATTTTATGTCTGGCTATTTCACTTAGCATAATGTTTTCAAAGTTCGTCTATGTTGTAGCATCTACTTTATTTTTAACTATTACATAATATTCAATATTAAATTATTCCCCTACTGATGGTACATAGGTTGTTTCCAATGTTTAGCAATTACAGAAAGTGTTAGATATCCTTATAGGTATCTATATTGACTATTCCTGGGGTCTCTCAGCCTTTGTAAATGTGTCTGTATATGTATTTTTCCTTAGGTTGATATGGAAGTGACCCTTCCAGGTGAGGGTAAAGACCAGACCTTTAAAGTGTCTGTTCAGTGGGTGTCAGTTGTGAGCCTGCAGTTGCTTTTAGAAGCTTTGGCCGGGCACTTGAATGAAGTCCCAGATGACTCGGTTCAAGCACTTGATGTCATCACAAGACACCTTCCCTCCATGAGGTTAGTTTGAATTCTTTCCTGTAAATGTCAGACTTTTGTTGGTAGGTTGCACTGTTGCCCATGACTTCTGCATAAGTCATAGTTCACACTTGGTTTCAGTTTACAAAGTTGAGAGTGAAATGAAAGATCCTTTCAAGTTTTTATTGTGAAGCATGCAAATTCTTGTTTCTTCAGGTACACTCCAGTGGGTCGTTCCTTTTTCTCACCTCCTGAAGGTTACTACCACCCTCTGGGAGGGGGCAGGGAGGTTTGGTTTGGCTTTCATCAGTCCGTGAGACCCGCCATGTGGAATATGATGCTCAATATTGATGGTAGGATGGAACTCCGTTACCGTTTACTCTTTGGGCTGGTTTTTTGGTCTTTTCCTGTTCCCTGTTCCCTGAAGCTAAGATTCCTTCTCTGTTTCAGTATCTGCAACTGCTTTCTACCGGGCTCAGCCTATCATTGAGTTCATGTGTGAGGTTTTAGACATTCAGAACATCAATGAACAAACCAAACCCCTAACAGACTCCCAGCGTGTCAAGTTTACCAAAGAAATCAGAGGTAGGTATTTGCATCACTGTGGTCTTGGTCAGGCAGCTCAGTTGTGGTCCCAGGAGCACCGTCCTACAGTCAGACACTCATGGGCTTCCATCCCATTCCTGCCAGTGCTATCACTGGGGCTTTGGGCAAGTTACTTAACCACTGTAAGCCTTAGTGTATTCATCTCTAAGGTAAAAATAATAATATGAATCTTGTAAGATTGCTGTGAGAATTAAATGCAACTGGGAGTATAAACTTCTAGTACATGTCAGGCACCTAGTAACTGTTACTTTTACGTGCTTGAAAACCTCCATTTTAATAAAATGGAAGGACTGAAATGTCTCATGGTCGCCCACTCCTTCTGTGATGTTCCCCCAGTGTTCTAATTGGGGCAGAGATGGTGTGCGCCTGGACGTGTGCATGGGAGTGCGAGTGTTTCCCCAGGTGTCTACCTATACATGCTGTTCTTGCTCCCCTTCCCCCATCCCTCATCTCCCTGCATCCCCCTGTGTCTTTCTTCTACCCTCTGGGGTTCAGGGTGGCCCTCCTCCTGGCTTCCTGGAGAAGCCGAGAGAAGGATCAGGATGAGTGAGTCTCAGATTTCTAAGATTTCTCAGATTAATACAAAAATATAAGTTTGTTTATTTTCAGAAGTTCTTTGCTTCTTTACTTGTTAGCTATCTTCTCTCATTATACCATAAGCTTCATTAGGGCTACCTCTAGGTTTAAGAATAAGTAAGCACTAAATCATGGTTAAGGCAGGATATATATTTGTTGAATGAAGTAATACATTAAAGTAGGTTCCTAGTCTTCAGTCATCTGGGTTCTAATTTTTTCTGCTTGGCTGAGGCTTTTTTGCCTATGCATGCTGAAATCTTTCCCATATCTTTGCAAACTTTGTCTTGTACAATGTCATGCCTTTCTGAAGAAATCCTTCAAATCTTTTTTTTTTTTTTTGGTCACAATGATTTTAATTAATACTGATGTTTTGACTTTTTTTTAACTTGAGGTCTGAAAGTTGAGGTGACCCATTGTGGACAGATGAAACGAAAATATCGAGTGTGTAATGTGACCAGACGGCCAGCCAGTCATCAAACGTATGTTAACCACATCTTAAACTGTACCATTACATTTGTTGTATCGTAGGTAGCTACTATAATAATTTGAGAAATTGGTATCCCATTTTAGCACTAGTGGTAAAGAACCCACCTGCCAATGCAGGAGACACAAGAGTCATGGGTTTGATCTCTGGGCCAGGAAGATCCCCTGAAGGAGGGCATGGCAGCCCGCTCCAGAAGAATCCCATGGACAGAGGAGCCTGGAGGGCTATAATCCAAAGGGTCACAAAGAGTCTGACACAACTGAAGTGACTTAGCATGCATGCACACATTATAATTTAAAAAACTCACTAAGATCTTCATTTTAAACACCAAAGCTTTTAAAAAGCTTTTAAATGTTTTTGATAGAAATATTAATAAAATGTATTTCTTGCCTTTAAAATATGCTGAACATAGATCAACTTTCATATAATGGTGCAGAGTCATCGTTATAAACATCATTTACTCTAGTGTTGTAGTTCTCAATGCATGGCCCAAAAGGATCTATTAAGAACTGTATGTCATAAGAGCTGTCATGGGAAGATATATATTGCTTTGAGTTTTATGTGGATTTTTCTCCCCCCTTTTTAGCTAACTGTCATTTCTTCCAGCTGTCAGTGTGTATGGCATGCCTCCAGCAGCAGATTCATTTATACTTCCTCAGTCTCATTTTTCTAATCACCTAACTTCTAATCCACTGTGAACTGTGCCTAATGAGAAAATATATATGAAAGTGCTTTTTAAATTACCATATATGTAAGTTTTATTCTTGTAATCAAGATCATTAAACTCATGTCTGACATAAATATAAATATTGGCTTTTCTAAGAGCATGAACTTAACTATATTAACTTTACATTATTTTACATACTTACTCAGAAGACTTTTTCAAACAAGTGTAATGAAAATCACCTACATTACTTTGCTCTAGATAACTGAAATTTTAGAGTGGCCTCTGGATAAATGTAGTATATCAATTCATTCTGATTTGAACACGTTCTTCAGTATGAACTCATGTACACATCACATGAATTTCTTGAGTTATAAAGTGATATTCTATGTATCCTTTGTGTTATACCATTGAATGCATTCTCTAGGGAAAATAAAAGTCACTATAGCGTTTGTTATACTGACAGATTATAACATTTGTGTTTTTTTTTTTAATCCTCTTTTTTCATTATTTAATTACTTCATGTTACCCCATAAGAATGGGCTTCCCTGGTGGTTCAGACGGTAAAGAATCTGGTTGCAATGCAAGAGACCTGGGTTTGATCCCTGGGTTGGGACTATCCCCTGGAGGAGGGTTTGGCCACCCACTCCAGTATTCTTGCCTGGAGAATTTCATGGACAGAGCAGCCTGATGGGCTGTAGCCCATGTGGTTGTAAAGAGTCAGACACGACTGAGTGACTAAGCACAGCACAGCACACCCTATAAGAATAATTAAACTTACAGAACTATAAAGTTTTTGCTTAAAAATTAAAAGCACATGGACTTAAATATCACATAGATGATCCTAACTGCATTATTACTTTGTGGGGCATTAACAGTTAAAAAACAAGATTAAAGTTATTATTGTGCCAAGTTGTTTGAGATAATTTGTCTCCTGGAAGAGCCAAATAAGGAGTCTCTTAAATCACATTCTCCAGTTTGTATCAAGTATCTTGACATGGTCTCAAGTTCATGTATTTGGTTTTGTGGCCTCCAAATCCACATATATTTGTCCTGGTTTGGGGATCTAAAAATGTGGCCCCAGTAACTATGCTACACTCATTTTACCAGAAGTTCTCTTAAGCAATTAAAACTCATATATGGATGGTCCAGGACCTTATTTGCATTTACTCATCTCTTAAGAAGTCAGCAAGAGGGACTTGCTGGTTAAGTCCCAGTGGTTAAGACTCCATGCTCCCAATGCAGGGGGCCCAGCTTTCATCCCTGGTCAGGGAACTGCATGCTGCAACTAAGACCAGTGCAGCAAAAAAAAAAAAAAAAAAGGCCAGTAAGAGATTGTATTTATACTGATAAGTGTTAAGTGACCTTTAGTGAATCTGTGTATTTTCTGGTTCTGCAGCTTCTTCTTAATTTAAGTTCTTTTTCCATTTTAATTAAATTTTTATCTCATCCTAGCTTCAACAAACAAACATGGAAAATAACAACAGAATCACTGTCTTGATTAAATACTAAGATGGCTAAAGTGAAAATGGCTAAATAAAGATTGACCTTTGTTTTTTAAGTGATTGGTCAAGGTAGAAAATGTTAGTAGGCTTTTGTTTGTTTGCTTGTTTAAAAAAAAAGAGCTTGAAGATATTTCTAAAAAGATATTCTCTCTTATAGTTTTCCCTTACAGTTAGAAAATGGTCAAGCTATGGAATGTACAGTAGCTCAATATTTTAAGCAAAAGTATAATCTGCAGCTGAAATACCCCCATCTTCCCTGTCTCCAAGTGGGACAAGAACAAAAGCATACATACTTGCCACTTGAGGTAAGCAAAACTAAATTTTCTTTTCCAGTCTGCCAATCTCTTGAATGTGTGTTTGTGTGTTTTAAAGTCATGTTCTAAACTAGTGATAGAATTTAATATTAATCTCTAAAATATTTTGGACGGGTAGCTTCACCTTATAGCAGAATTTTCATTTGTTTGGAAAGGGAAGATGTAAGCTGCACTTCAGCAAATCTTAAGATACAGAAACCCAAGACACAAACTAATTCCTCTTTGCCTCTTGATAGGTTTGTAATATAGTGGCAGGACAGCGATGTATAAAGAAGCTCACAGACAATCAGACTTCCACGATGATCAAGGCCACAGCAAGATCTGCTCCTGACAGACAGGAAGAAATCAGTAGACTGGTCAGTAAGGCATAGTCTTTAAGATTAGCTGGCTTTCAGATTAAAAAAAGAAACAATAGAAAATGCCGGATGGGACACAGTTACTCTTTGGTTTTTATATATGCAGGCTTTCCTGTTCTTTAGGTGAAGAGTAACAGCATGGTGGGTGGACCTGACCCATACCTTAAAGAATTTGGTATTGTTGTCCAGAACGAAATGACGGAGCTCACAGGCAGGGTTCTTCCAGCACCAATGCTGCAATATGGGGGCCGGGTAAGCCTTTTATTTTATTCAACAAGTTTCTTCCAACAACCAGTCCAAAAAGAGGGTTTTCCCACTCTACCACACTGAATTTATCCATTGCTTTGCTCATTGTTGCTTTTTGTCTTTTGGCTAATATCAAATAGTTTTATGTATCCTCTCATCAACTTTAAAATGGACTTAGATTGTAATGTCTTCTCTCTTTTGTTTCTTTTATTTGTTTGTTTTTTTAAAGAATAAAACGGTAGCCACACCCAACCAGGGTGTCTGGGACATGCGAGGAAAGCAGTTTTATGCTGGCATTGAAATTAAAGTTTGGGCAGTTGCTTGTTTTGCGCCTCAGAAACAATGTAGGGAAGATTTATTAAAGTGAGTATCTTCATATTTTCAGCTTAGTAATATCCCTTGCAGATATGAAAATACCATCTTTATGTGAATGTGCTATGTACACTGGCACTGAATCTCTGACTCCTATAGTGACACCATCTGGCTATAGGAAAAAGACCTTGTTCTTATAGTGAATTGCAAATGGGAATTACCTTAAGAATCTGACTCAGCTTCCTACATTTAGAGCAGAAGTCTGTGACTAACAAGGTTGAAGTGGTGCTGATTGGAAAATTCTTGAGTTCTTAGTGAAGCTTCCTTTGGGGTTAATTGTATCTTTTCAGCTAAGATAAAAACTAGTTCATTTTTAATCATTGTAATTAACTAGGGAGCTTGTCTTACTGGAGGTCACTGATTAAGATCTTTGGTTCACATCTTACAGATGTAGTTATCTATATAAAGGAATTAGTGAGAAGGGTGGAAAAATTTCCACAGGAAAAGGGAACTAGGGTGAAAGAAAGGAATCCTACAAAATATTGGCAAATGCACAAAAGAAATTATCCTGAAAACTTTTTACATAGACTGGAGTAACATCTCAAATCCAAAATTTAAAACTTGACTGTGAATTTTGCTTTTTCTTAAAATGATGTTTTCTTTGACATTGTTATGGAAGCAGATCTGTTACGAGTTTGAATGTAATCCTAAGTATGATGATTTTGTGACATAGAGTGTTTCTGTGTTCCCAGTTGAACACAAGCTTACCCAACTATTCTTGTACTTGGCTTACCCAAATTCACGTTACCTGAAATTTTGACCTTGCTTTCATCTTCAGTCCTGAATAACTGACTTGAATGTTTAAAAAAATTATTTGAACAGGAATGCTATTCTAGGCTCTGAGGCCCAGCTGAGGCATAATTATTTTAAAGTTCCAAATGATAATCTGATAGTTTAGTAATACAGAATCTTCTGCATTATTATTGCAGTGATACAACTTCTAGGCTGTTTTTGGCAACCAGTTAAAGATGGAATTTTTTTGTTTTTTAAAAATTTTAGCTAAAAATTTACAGAACTGAAAGAAATATCTTAGAGGGAGCTAAATGCTAAGATTGTGTCCTGAAATGAAAGCACTATGCCACCGGTTCTATTTTAACAGGAGTTTCACGGACCAGCTCCGTAAAATCTCTAAGGATGCAGGAATGCCCATCCAGGGTCAGCCATGTTTTTGCAAGTATGCACAAGGTGCTGACAGCGTGGAGCCCATGTTTAAACACCTGAAAATGACATATGTGGGCCTACAACTTATAGTGGTTATCTTGCCTGGGAAGACACCAGTGTATGGTATGGACCCCTTTAATGTTGAATGAGGGATGATTTCAAGTAATTGGTGTAGCATTCAGGATAAACTAGGTTCTGCTGCAGTCACAAACAAGCCCAAACTCTCAGTGGCTCAAAGCAACAGAGGTTTTTTTCTGCTCCTTCTATGTGCCTATTGAAGGTAAATTGCAGCCTCTGCTCCACGTCATCATATCATTTTCACTCTGGAACCCAGTCACTGTTTGGAGTGTTGCTGGCTCCCAGGCAGAGAGAAAAGAGCTCTGAAGAGTTGCTTTTTTGTTTGTTTGTTTTACACAGAAAGCCTGGGGAGGTTTTTTATTATTATTATTTTGAGGGGGGAAGCGGGGGAGTTGTTTTGGCCACACCCCGAGGCATTTGTGGTCTTTGTTCAACCAGGGTTCAGACCCATACTCCCTGCATTGGAAGGGTGGAGTCAACCATCCAACCAACAGAGAAGTCTCTGGAGGGTTCTTAACTTAGGCAGTTTCTTGGCCACAGCCAACTATATGGCCCACTCAACCTGGGACAGGGGGCAGGAAATGCAGTGGGAATGAGGGCAGTGCAATTCTACCATAGCCCCCAAAGTAGGGAGAACTGGAATGTCTGATGAGAAGCACTTAGGAGTATCAGGGTGGGGGAGCCTACCACTTCCAGAACAGGAACTGCTTAGTTTGTATTTCTTATAAGAGGAATGATACAGAGTTCTTTCGGCTATCCTCTAAGCAAAGGCTTTGGAAAATATATAGACCAGCGATTTGAACTTTATAAAATGTCTCCAGCTCTCTGTATATTTCTATCTTTTGTTAGCTTTACTCTTTTTCTGTCCTGTTTAGAGCAGGGAGGAGAGTGGAGGAAGAAAAAGAATCCCTTAAAATTCAAAGGGCTGGTGTGTGTACTAAGGAGGGGGAGCTGGGGAGGTTGATTTCTTTGCCCAGACCAGTCCTGTGAGAAAGGGAACCTCAACAGACTTTTGAGTGAGTGGCGGCAGGCAGCATGGTGGAACAGAGGAAGTGGGCAGGCTTCCAGGCCTGCAGGAGAGAAGGGAAAGGAGGGCCTATCCAAAACAAATTGCCCTCTGGGTTTAACAGATGAAAGGACCACATATGAAAAGCAGGTAGCACAATGTACGACATATGGTAGGCACTCTGTGAAAGTTAACATGTAGGAGTTTTCCCCCTTTACTTCCAGGATTTTGGAGAATATATCAACATTTACAATGAATTAATAAACTTCTTTTTGTAGCGGAGGTGAAGCGTGTTGGAGATACACTCCTAGGAATGGCTACACAGTGTGTCCAGGTAAAAAATGTAGTGAAGACCTCACCTCAAACCCTTTCTAACCTTTGCCTGAAGATAAACGCAAAGCTTGGAGGAATTAACAACGTGCTTGTACCTCATCAAAGGTAAGATCCTGAACTCTATGTTTTCCACTTGTTTCTTAAGACCTAACTTACATAATTTGCAATAAAACAGATCTCAAATATAGCCCTTGATTACTTTTTCTGATACACATATGCACTCATGTAACCGCCCCCCAGGTTAAATATAGAACATGTCCAGCTCTTCATCAGGCTTCCTCGTGGCCCCGCTCAGTAGATAACCCCTGAAGGTACTAGACTCCCCTGATGGCTCGGAAGAGCCTGGTGGGCCTGGCCCACCAGATGTGTGTACACACAGTAAGTAAAATAAATGTAAATTGTGTGGTCAAAGTGATAAATACTATGGAGAAAAACAGAACAGGGAAGGACATGAACTTTATTCTCTTCCTCATGTCTCACGTCTTGGGCGTTTGGTCCTAGTTTCACGTGCCTTCTGCAATTCAGTATCCATTGTAGAAATCCCAAGATCCTAAGAGAGACTGTTCTGGGAAAGTTTTTCCTTTGGTGGTGGTTTAGTCGCTAAGTTGTGTCTGACTCTTGCAACCCCAGGGACTGTAGCCTGCCAGGCTCCTCTGCCCAGGGGATTCTCCAGGCAAGAATACTGGACTGGGTTGCCATTTCCTTCTCTAGGGGATATTCCCAACCAGGAATCGAACCCGGATGTCTTGCATTGCAGGCAAATTCTTTACTGACTGAGCTATGAGGGAAGCCCAAGTTCCACCTTTACACATAGAGATTTTGTTAAATTTGGGTTAGGTTCTTTTCTTGATTCTTTCCTTCCTGCTATTGCAGAAGAACCATGTTGGGCTCCCCTGGTGGCGCAGCTGGTAAAGAATCCACCTGCAATGCGGGAGACCTGGGTTCTACCCCTGGGTTGGGAAGATACCCTGGAGAAGGGAATGGCTACCCACTCCAGGATTCTGGCCTGGAGAATTCCATGGACTATCCATGGGGTCGCAAGGAGTTGGACACGACTGAGCAACTTTCACTTTCACTTGACTCTTTCCTTCCTGCTATTGCAGGAGAACCCCTTTGGCTTCTTTAGTCAATTCAGATTCGTGATCCTGGGTGGCCGGCACTCAGTGGGCCTTAGAAGTCTCTCCCAGTGGGCACACCTTTATTCTCTCTTGTAAGATTATGTCTGTGATTGTATCTAGTGGGCTTGCTAAATAAAAGCATTTTCATCCTTACATCTGAGTGGCAACGTCTTCTTAAATTTGAGCAGGCCCTCAGTGTTCCAGCAGCCTGTCATCTTCCTGGGAGCAGATGTCACGCACCCACCAGCAGGCGATGGGAAGAAGCCATCCATCGCGGCTGTGGTTGGCAGTATGGATGGCCACCCCAGCCGGTACTGTGCCACGGTTCGCGTGCAGACCTCCCGCCAGGAGATCTCCCAAGAGCTCCTCTATAGTCAGGAGGTGATCCAGGATCTTACCAACATGGTTCGAGAGCTGCTGATCCAGTTCTACAAATCCACACGCTTCAAACCCACCCGGATCATCTATTACCGTGGAGGGGTCTCCGAGGGACAGATGAAACAGGTAATCTTATTATCCTGTAGCTTCCCTCTGGGGCATCTACATTTTTCTTTCTTTTTTGGTCATACCATGTGGCATCTGGGATCTTAGTTCCCTGACCAGGGATGAAACTCATGCCCCCTGCATTGGAAGCATGGAGTCTGAGCCGCTGGGCCACCAGGGAAGTTCCCTCTGGGGCTTCTCAGTGTCTGATAGAACTTCCTCCAATCTACCACTCTGGTGGGTAAATCAGATCTGAGAGATACCTAAGAGATAGGCAAGTTCTCAATTAAATGTCATTCCATTTCTAACTCCTAGGTAGCTTGGCCAGAACTAATAGCAATTCGAAAGGCATGTATTAGCTTGGAAGAAGATTACCGGCCAGGAATAACCTATATTGTGGTGCAGAAAAGACATCATACACGACTCTTCTGTGCAGATAAAACAGAAAGGGTAAGAACACATAGGATAAGCTTTATTATCTGATGCAAGTGAATGTGTTTTTGAGTAGGCATACATAAAATTTTTTTCTAAAAGCAGAAGTGCCTAGTAATAATTTAAGAAACATACTAACTCCAATTGAACTTAGATGAGCAATTCTGAATGATACAGGTGTCAAGACTGAATATTTCTCTTATGTGACAGCAATACTGGTTTCTAGAGTTTTTAGAGGGGGAAATAAAAAGCATGCCAGGTACACTATGGTGATATAGGTAAGCTCCAAAGAGAGGGGTTATTTATTTGGACTTTATTGCCATTTGCTACTTTTTGTTATCAATGCCTAAGGCATGGGTCTAGGGTATAAAGAAGCATTTCATTTCCAAATAATTTTACATCAGTGCAGAGGATTTTTAGGGTATGTACTTTGAATACTTATGATGTCACACTTAATAATCATGGGTAAGTTAAGTTCTCTAAGCTACAATGTTCTAACTGTAAAGTGTGATAAATATAATACTTAGCTTCCATGGTTGTTAAGGATTAAATTAGTAAATGAATGTTAATTTTGGGTATAATTTCCAGCTTTTGATTAAAAAAACATTTTGTGTAACCTATTTATAATCTCATATTAATGTACAAACTAGGTAAATTACAGGCAAATAGTGTTGAATGACTTTACTTCTATGGTCTTTTCTGTGATATTACTTTATCTTTTTCAGGTTCCCTCTGATTGACTCCCAGAGAGACTGGTTCTTTCCATTGCCTAATCTTGTGGTCTTGTGGGTGACTCTCATTGTTTTCTAGTGCTTGCTTAGTTTTTGCCTCCAATCCAAAACTGAGCTCTTTCTTCTCATTTTCTGAATCATTAGAGAACTAAGGCTTTATCCTTGGTCCCCAGGTTCATCAATCAGCACAGATTCAAAATACTGTCTTCCAAACTGCCCAGACTCTGACTTGGTAGTACTTCCTAGATTCTGCTAATTCACCTTCTCTGAACTCTTGCCTGAGCCCTGGGCACAAAGTATCCTGCCCCCCCCGCCCCCCCGCACCCTCCCTCCCCCCCCCTTAACTGCATAGTCACTCTCCATCCCTCTGTCAACTTGCTATTCCTGTAACTTTAGGACCTGGATTATTTTTCTAAAATCCCAGTCTATCTCATAACTATTTTTGACCATCTGGTGTTACTCCTGACCTTTGAAGATTGACTGTCCCAATCCTTGGTCTACTTTGCACCCCTAACACTTACCAACATCTTCAGTTCTCTAAATATGCCTCTTGCCAGTCTCCAACTCTGAATTAATGCACTTGCCTATTTCCTTTGCTGCTATTCTTAGGCTGGTTGAAGTTGCTGAGGAAAAAAGTCATTTATTCAATAATGAACCATATTACTAGTTCTTGATAGCAAATCTCAGCCAGGCCTTTGATGCTTCAATTTTTTTTTTTTCATTTTTCCTATTCTCCGTAGCATCTGTTCCCATCCTTTATACTCTTCTCAAGTCCCCAACCCTAACCATGACACCTTCATTGCCAACAACTTACATTGCCAGCAATAGAGCAACCTTCTATTTTCTCCAGAAAACAAAATTGTGAAGGCATGAATTTTCTCAGCTTCCTCTCTCCTGCTTTCAAATTTAGCTAAATCTTGTGTTTTCTTACCCTGTTCCTTGAATCTTGGACGCTAACCTCTCCACTTATGCTCCCCCACTCCAACCTGTGCTTTTGGTTTTAATCCTTTCTGCCTTCTCCAGAGCCTCACTTCATTAATTATCCATTATTTTTCAAAATTTCAATTTTCCCCATTCCATTGCCTCCTCCTCATCCTCTAAAGTTTCTTAACTTTTCCTCAGGCTTCTCTAAAACTTCCCTTCTCTCTCAGTCTACCTGCCATTTTTTTTTTCTTTCCTCCCTTTAATGACCAAACTTACAGGAAAAAAAGACTTGACTTTCTTTCTGTACCTTCTCACATAATGTTTCAGCTCTCTGTCGCCTGACTTTGACTTCACTGACCCCACCAAGGCTGTTCTCTGAACGACTTGCTCATTTTGAATCCAACGACCGCTTGTCAAATTCCCACACTGACCTCTTTGCAGCACTTATGGATGGTTGCCTTCTTTGGACTTAGCAATATGACTTTTCAGGTTCACTACCCACCTCTATAAATAGGCTTTCTTTGACTCTTCTTCTTCCTTTCTCCGTTAAACACTAATGCTTCCTGGCGTTTCATATTTCTCTCTTCTGAATTTCAACTCTCTTTAGTCTCACCTACTTTTCTGGCTTCACTGATTTGCTTATTGATTACCAAATCTGTATTTCCAGCCCCAGATTTTCCGCGCAGCTCCTGATCTGTACTTCTGATTGTCTAGCAGTTTACTTCGATGCTCTTGTAGGCATTGTGTCAGTCAAGATAGGCTAGGCTGTGCTGTGGTGACAAAAGGCTCCAAAGTCTCAGTGGCTTACAAAGATTTATTTCTTGCTCACATTACACATTCACTGGGGCCCTTCTGCAGCTGTGACCTCACTATGCTCCCTTTGGAACCTAGGCTGATGGAGAAGCATCTGTCTGGAACTTGGCCAGTCATTGAAGCAGAGGAGCATATGCTGGCTCTTAAAGCTTCTGCCTAGAAGTGGTGCATTTCAGGCCACATTTTATCGGTCAGAGGAAGTTACATGGCCACTTCTGAGTTAATTGGGCAGGGATGTATCATGTACCCCCACCCCCTGCCCCGCCAGAGGGTCTCTAGAATATTTGACCCCAGTTATCCAATCTACCACAGGCATTTCAAGCAAAACACCTGTAAACCTTTTCCTGATTGTTTTAGGATAATCCAAAACAATAGGATTCTCCTCATCCAAAAGCTATTCCTCCCCTGATTCTCTATTCTTCTGTTGTTTGGCATCACTGTGTTAGTTAGACAGGCTAGACACTTCTTAAGCGTTGTCTTTAAATCCTTTTCCTCTATTCCCCTCCTCCCTTCCTGTGTTCAGTTGGTCAAACAGTCTTCTGTGTTCTGTCCTGAAATCTCTTGTCTCAACTGTTCCTCTTGTGTGTTCCATCTGCCCTAGGCAGAACTCTTTAGTATTGCAGAAGACTCGTAGAGGTCTCCCGGTCTCCATTCCTCCTTCACAGATGCATCCTCCACCTGCTGTCAAGGCTAAGTTTTTAAAATACAGATCTTATCCTGCTATGCCACTGCTCAAAAATCTTCATGTTTCCCCCATTGCCTATGCTTGAGGGTACGAAATGCTTTCTTATGGTGTTCAATATTTTCCCAAGGTAGCCAAAGCATAATATTTCAGTTTGCTTTTTCAACATGTACTCGTATACCTTCTATTACCCATGTGACTATTTCCATTTCCTATGTATATTGTGTATTTTTATCCCTGGAATGACCACATCATCCCACTTTTTCCCCCCTCATTTTTATAATAAGATACAATGTAGACACAGTAAAATTCACCATTTTTATTGTACTGTTGTACAAGTGTTGACAAATGCATATAGTTGTGTAACTACACCTTAATATGTAAAATGATTTCATCACACACACTTGTCTTGTGCCCATTTGTAGTTAACCTTTTCCCTCACCTAGAGCTGCTGACAACCACTGATATATATTCTGCCCCTAGGGTTTTGTCTTTCTCAGGATGTCATATGAAAAGAACTCATAGCCTTTGGTCTGGCTTCTTTTACTTAGCATAGTGCATTTGAGATTCAACCAAGTTTTTATGAATATCAATAGCTTGTTCCTTTTTTATTGGAAGGTAGTATTTTGTGATACAGATGAACCACAGTTTGTTTATCCATTCCTGACTTTAAAGGATATTGGAATGTCTTCATTTCCATTCCATCCCCCCTCCATTCAACCTCTATGTATCCTATAAGGCAGGGGTCCCCAACCCATGGACCACAGACCAGTACCAATCCGAGGCCTGTTAGAAACTGGGCTGTATAGCAGATGAGTGGTGGGCAAGCAAGTGAAGCTCCATCAGCTACTCCCCATCACTCCCCATTGCTCACATTACTGCCTGAACCATCTTCCCCCTTCCCCCAGTCTATAGAAAAATTGTCTTCCATGAAACTACTCCCTGGGTGCCAAAAAGCTTGAGGACCACTGCTATAAAGCATGGCTCAACCATTTCCTCCTACCAGCTTTTCCCACTGCCTTCCATAAGGCCCTTATTACACTGCGTTGCTGTCCATTGCATATGACGCTCATGAAGAGTAGGAGGGCAGGGTTACTAGTTCACTCTGTGCCTCTGTCTTCATCCCCAGCATCTGCTGCAGAGCCTTGCGCATGGTGCTCAAGCAGTAATTATTAAAATGAACATGACTGGACCCTTTTTCCCCAGAGCAGCACCTCTTTAGGTTCTCATCTGTAGATTCCAAGAGATTTTTAAAAAGGGAGTTCTATGGTCAAATAAGCTGTATACTCCTTTTCCCTCTTAAAGGTTATACATTACTAGATAAAGATTCTGAGAAGTCATGCAATAGAAAGGCCTTTTAACTTTGGTTTAACCCAGTGCCACTCAAGTTTATTTTGCCATAAAACACCTAAGCACATCCTGCAGAACTAACATTCGTAAAGCATACAGTTTGGGGAAGGATACTAGAATGATTACAACTCAGTTACATTTCCTCTTGTCTAGATAGGTACTCAAGGTCACATATGAATTTGATGGAATGAGACTTTTCTGTACTCGTGAATGTTATTATATGAATAGCATATGATATTCAGCTGAAGTTAACAATAGTTAAAATGGAGTCAAATAAATTTCCATCAAATTTGTGCCAATATGCTAAATATACTTCCTTTATGGAATCCTTTATGGAATCCACTTACAGCAGAAGTGGGTGAAAATTGACCAAATAGCAAGATTTTTCTATATTTCTGCTTTTCTGGAAGTTTGATTTTAGAGTTTGGTTATAGAAGAACTTGAGAATTTTTAAAATGTAAGCAGTCATCACCTAATTTTGTGGATGGTTAGATTGAGACCCAAAGATACTATGCTTTGTTCAAGGTATGTAGTTGCAAGGAAGGGCTTAGAACTGAAACTCTGGCTTTCCTAATTCTCATTTCAGTACACTCCTCCTGATAATGCATGTGCCAGTGAATTCTTTTATTGATCCTGTACAAGTATTAGTTTTGTTGAATCTGGTGAACCAGTTCAAAGATTCCTTCATCTTAACCTTTACTGAAAGTTGACTTTTTTTTCTTAACTCCAAATAAAAAATAAAACTGATTTTTTTCCCTCAGGAAATTTATCCATCTTAAATGTCTTTTTTTCCCCTCTGTGAACATACCAGCGTGTCATCTATGAAATTGATGACAATAATGCAGCCCAAAGCCACAGGTAGAGTAATTCTTTGTCTGGATTCCCTTAGCAAAACCGTGGAGTATATTTGTTTGTGAAAATATTTAAGGATGAAATAGTTGGGCCAAGGGAAATTTACAGAAAATTCAACATCTTGAATTAAACCGATTTTCAAGAGTTCACTTAAGAGCAGTTTACTTACTTATTACTAATGGCCTGAATCCAATTTAGCTCTTTGATGACTAACTATACCCCCCCCTTTTTTTTTTTGGTAGGTAGGGAAAAGTGGCAATGTACCAGCAGGCACTACTGTGGATAGCACCATCACACATCCATCTGAGTTTGACTTTTACCTCTGTAGTCACGCGGGGATTCAGGTAATTTGGAAGCTGGTCCAGATATTTGACTTGAGAGGGAGGTGTTTGAAAATTCAGGAACTAGCTTAAGTAGACTTGTTATTAAATACTGTACATAACTTTGTTAATACTTGTATCCTAAAACTGTTACCTTTTGGTCTAAGTATCTCCTAGTAGGTGTGCTAGGCAGGACTATTTCTGGATTTAGGTAGGTTTCCACTCTTCTCTCAGGTAGTAAACCCATGTCAGAGACAGTAATCATACAATTCTTTCTCCAGGGAACCAGCCGTCCTTCACATTACCAGGTCTTGTGGGATGACAACTGCTTCACCGCGGATGAACTCCAGTTATTAACGTACCAGCTATGTCATACCTATGTGCGGTGCACACGCTCAGTCTCGATCCCAGCCCCTGCCTATTATGCCCGGCTTGTAGCCTTCAGGGCAAGGTATCATCTGGTGGATAAAGATCATGACAGGCAAGTTTCTCAGGCAAATAAAATCTTTCTGTTTGTGTTGGCAGCATGTTTCTTTTTAAAAATGAGCTACCGTTGAAAACTTTTAGGAAGAGCTAAACTTCCTTTTAGGGTTTACATTTCATGGAGCAAATAAAATTGCATGTTAATGACTTTTGGTCCAAAAAGCTGGTATTGTGACTTTGGGTCCAAAAAGTGCCCAGGCTTGTTCACACTTGTGTGGTATGTCTGTCCCCCTTAAAAAGGAATCTTGTTTGGAACCGCCTGTGGTTTTCCCTCAGAGCCAAATGCATTTCAGTTCTGCTCAGGTACTAAGCAGCTTCGCAAGATGTCCAGCCCAGTGCCCTGGCTCCAGTCAGCGCAGTTACAGGCCTGTGGATTCCAGTTCATTCAAGGGGGAGGTCCTGACCAGGTCACTTTCAGTACAGTCTTGGAGAATGCATCTGAAGGACCCTGGGTGTGTGTTGGGAAGAGGTGGGGTACCAGACCATTCTCACCCCTAAGTAAAGATCTCAAAAGAATCAGACATATTGACCTGTTACTGAGCTACTATTGAGTAGCTAAGCAAGTTCTCTCCATTAATTTTTCTTTTCAAATGACCATCTGTGAAGTGTAGCAGTTTCTGGGCTCTTCCCCAAGTCTGAATTCAGCTGCTAAATAGTAGACATTCCACTGCAAGTCTATTTCTGTACGAGTTGAAAGTACACTATTATGGAAAATGCCCAGCTGTGGCTTTGTACCTTTCATTCTGTAATATACATATTCATTCAACACATTTATTAGGTATTCATTGTGTACCCAGCACTGTGCTAGGTACTAAAAACAGTAAGCTGAGGAAGACATGTCTCCTGGGATTTTATGTTTCAGTCTGGTAGACAGTACAGGCAAACATAAAACTGACGGTTAGCTCAAAGCAGTAGAGATGAAAGTGCAATTGAACATCGGAGGGAAAGTCTGTTAGAGGTTTCATAGCTGGATGGATAAGATTTGGATCTATATCACCAGCCCAGGTTGGATGCATGAGACAAGTGCTCGGGCCTGGTGCACTGGGAAGACCCAGAGGGATCGGGTGGAGAGGGAGGTGGGAGGGGGGACCGGGACGGGGAATACACGTAAATCCATGGCTAATTCATTTCAATGTATGACAAAAACCACTGCAATGATGTAAAGTAATTAGCCTCCAACTAATAAAAATAAATGGAAAAAAAAAAAAAAGATTTGGATCTATAAAGAAGAGAAAAGAATTTTCCAGGCAGAGGGAATAATGGACATAAAGAAGACAAGACAAGTGACGTGTTTGGACAGTAGCAAGTTTTCTTTGATAGGAGCATTTGAAGAGAGAATAGCAGGCATGAAGCTGGAAAAGTATGTTAGAGCAAGATTATCTTTGTTAAAAGTAAAAGGCTACTCATGGGATAAAATAGATATTATTCAACTGTCAGTTGGATGTGAGTGACAGAGAAGAGGGTGAAGTAAAAGATGACCAAGATTTTGAGCCTAGATGATAGGGGGTAATAATAATTTAAGTAGAGAACTCAGGAGGGATGATAATTTCCCATTTGCTCTGAGAACTCAGGAGGGATGATAATTTCCCATTTGCTCAGTCCTTTGTATCACATGGTGCCCTTAGAGGTATGTTCAGAAGTTATTGTTATCCTAAAAGATCAAGTTCAGAGGGGGTGTTACTTGTCCAGGGTCCTATAGCTAGTAAGGGGAAGACCAAAAAGGCTGGTGGCATAGTAACATTTGCTGAGTATCTATTATGTTCCAGCACTGTGCTCAGTACATTCATTGATTCATCAAATGGTTATTGAGACACTGTTATGTGCCGGGCACTAGGGATTTAGTGGTAAGGTAGACAAATTTACTAGTTTCTTAGAGATTCCATCCTGGTGGAAGACTTATCCAAATAATGATCTTTCAAGTGAAATAAAAGTAGAGGATTTCATGAAAGTATATTTCATGTGGCTCTGACCTGAACTTCAGAGTCAGGGAAGATTTCTTTGGGGGAAACGACATTTAACTGAAAACTAAAGAATAAGTGGGTAATAACCAGACATAAAAGACAGGGAAGTCCTTGCTTAGGCACTGATAAAGATCTGGGTCTTTGCAGACACTATTCTATTTAATTATTGCAACAGTCTATTAAATAAGTTGTATTTTTCAATTGGCAAACTGATGTTTAGAGAGACATTACAGATTATTTAAGGAGTCACAATTTGAGCTCAAGATCTCAAATCCAGTACTATTCATGCTATTTGAAACCTGAAGTTTGGAGTGGTCTTTTGTTACACTGTTGTTGGTTTTTTTTTTTTGCTTTCTTTTCTTTACAGTGCGGAAGGCAGTCATGTGTCAGGACAGAGCAATGGCCGAGATCCTCAAGCCTTGGCTAAAGCTGTGCAAATCCACCATGATACCCAGCACACCATGTATTTTGCCTGAGAGTCTCAGAAAAAGAACTCAACCAGTTTGTTATCCCACGCAGCCTCAAAATGTTTCAAATGCCTACTGCCTCTAGAGAGAGCCAAGTTGACTTCAGGTGGTCTTCTACCAGCAACTCGGAATAGTTGCACTGAATCTATACTTCACAGCACTGTCTGATGCATCAACAAAATTGAGCCATTTTTTAAAATAGATACTCATAGATTATCTTTTCTGATGCACTGGACTGAATTTTTACCTCATCATGCAAAGGCTGATCAGCCTGAACTTTCTAAGGGACTTTATGAGAAAGGTTTCTATGGACTATTTTGCTAGCTGTGGTGTTCACCGCATCCCTCTAGTCTTACCAGAGAAGATTTTTTTCCTTTTTTCTGTATTCATTGAGTGGGGTGTGTGCATAAATGGGAGAGAAAAACCAAACAATCTACTTTAGGTCAATGTAACTATTTAATTGTGTGGGTCCATAGGCTTTTTAATGGAGATTTCTGACTTCGCCACTGTAAATGCCTTGAACGAGCATTGATTTTTTTGTAAGTTTTACAGAATTTTATGAGTTTTTACTACTTTTCTCTGTTGATCTCTACAGACTGGTGCTGGTGCAAGTACAGGCTGCCAGGCAATTGCACTATATTTGGCTGCAGATTCAGACAGGCAGTTCTCTTATTTGGTTGACTTTTGTGAATGTGTAACACAGACAGATGTGATGCATGCCGTGATGACAGATAACACTGCCATGGCAAAAGTACTCATGTTTCCCCCTCTTTGGAAAAAAAAAATTAGCTTTTAGTAGAGTTCTCAAAAGTGCCCATTTTATGCTGCTGTGTGGTTTGTTAGATCTAAATGATTTTTAAACTTTTCTCATAGAAAGTTATCTTTGGCAATAAACATTTTTTAAGGTCCCTCCTCTTCCTCCCCCTGACAATGTACTTTTTTAGATGAGATTTCAATATGATTTTTATCAGCTGTTTCTTATAGATCATAATCTGGCAATTTCTGAAGCTGGTCAGAAAAGACATATATTTCATGCCTTTTTAAAGAATTATTTTTAATCTGTTTTATAGTCACAGTTGGTGTCCTATCACTTTGTTTTAAAATAAGCTAGAACCAGGATGCTTCCTTATTGGATAGGCTTTGCCAATCCTTAAGGTACCTTGAGTGATGCTGCAACTTGCAAAAATGTACCAGCATTTAAAACTTTTTTTCCCTGGGAATCAAGGTCACTCACAATTACTTGTAGCGCAAATGTTTTGCTTCTCTTTCAACCTGAAATATACTTGGTGGGGTTTCCTTCCTTTTATTAAACTAAAACTGCATAAAAAAGGTTGATTTTTCTTAATAGATTCTGAATTCTGTTCACAGGGAAACAGGATTCCTTTCTTGTTCAAACAAAGGGAGTTGATCTAAAGCAAGCATCAGTTACAATGTGGGGGGAAATGTATTTTGTATTTAGTGTAGATAATACTTTGTGAATGGACAACAGTTACATAGAGTCTTGATAGTTCCAGCCGGTGTTTCCCAGCCCACCTTTTACTGACTTCTAATTCTCTGTCCTGGAACCTTGGGAGAGCTGGAAGGAGGGATAAAAGGCCCAGAGCCCCTCCATATGGTTGAGGAAGGTGCCGGGGGAAGGAGACAGATACAGTGTGGTAAAACAATTTTGCCACCTCTGTCTGGAAACTGCTGGTGGGGGAAACACTGGATCTAATGGTGAAGGATGTTGCTTGAACTCATTAGCTGGTCCAAATCTCTTAAACTAGCCTTCTCAAAACCCCAGCAATATAAAGCACTGTTTTTCTTCAGTCTTTTAAACAAGCTTGTAAATACATTAAAGTTTACATTTCCATGTGCTGTTGATCAGCGATGCCACCAGTGTTTGCTGAGACTGGTCTCCGAGAGTTTTATAATGTATATCGAATCCTAAAAGCTCATTAAGATACGAGTGCAGACGTCCTTGTTCTCTGCATAGAGTGGGATGAAAGCAAGCTCTGTAATTGAGGCACAACATGGGCAGGAGTGAAGAAGATGGCAGATGTTAATTTCTTAAGATTTTCCTTTTTTGCAAATACCTCACTTGGACACTACAAATCAGGACACGTTGGTGAGGCGCTGGCTGCTGCTTTTTATTCACACTTGTTCAGGGAGAGCACAGAAATATCCTTCAGCTTGGTTACCCTTGACCCAAGAGGAGGAAAAACAAAAGTTTCTTAGGGGATGGAGGACTTGCTGGAGTCCAGGATGTGAAGAACTCTTGGTGGCTGGCTGATGGGCACCACATCTGCGCTTGAGTGCCTCAGACTTGCTTGTTAACAATGCACAGAAGAAGCATCCCTTCTCACCATCTCCTGGCATGTATGAAGCAGGGAGCGAGGCAGAGCGCCAAGAAGCCCTGACTCGCCTGCCTGTTGTTGGGCTATATGCTCGACCTTGAAATATAGTTTGTAAGATCTCAGTCAGTCCTAGTACACTGGGGCAAATCAGTATAGTGGTGGAGGAAAAGCCGGGAGGCCTATTTTTATAGGAAAACTGTATCTTGAAGGGTGCAATGCTATGGTTCTAGACAAAAGGAAGGACAGAGGAATTGAGATTGTTGGGGAAAAAACTTGCTGAGGGGTGAGTCTTTAAGAGGTATCACTGCAGAATCAGAGTTGCAGCAATACTCTTGCATGCAGGTCTGAATGCATAGTTTTAATTTGGCTTGACAGTTTGAACACAGTAAACCCTTGGGACTGACTGAATCATTATGCATGTGTCAATCAATGGGAAGTGTGCATTCTCTAGAAGTAGGTTTAGACTGGTTGTTTTTTTTAATGCCGCCTGTCTAGGCACTGTCTGTGTGGTGTGAAAGATTTAAATGTAGCAATGCTAAAGAGTAACAATTTGGGGAGAAGGCACAGGGACCTTCAAAGAGTGGTGAAGATCCAAATGTTGAACCCATGATGTTTTGTTGTGGTGGTTGGCTGCAAAGTGAGCTCGCTGGCTTAACACAGCCAGCAGTCTGGGCAGGCAGAACATATTCACGCTTACTATAATTTCTATTTGCTGCTTCCAAAGGTGACCATTTATAAGCAGACATATTTTATACAGTCTGTGTTTTAGGATCTGGTGCCCAGTCTATATCAGCGCTTACCTAGCTGGCTCAGCTACCTGTGTGAAAAGGTAATACACTGTTTCATCGGGCCCACCCTCTCCACCCTGCCCCAGCGACCCTTCGTGGACGTGCTGTAAGATTTTCTTGCTCAATAGCAAGGTGGTAGCTCTGCTTTCATTTTAAGAAAGTGGAGGCTGAGGGCATTGTATCAATACTGCTTCAACTCCAAGGACTTTTTCCTTGTAAAATTAAAGGGAAGATCTTGTTATTGATTAACCATTTTCTTATCCCTTGCTATTGACATATTCATGCTCTTTCTATGTCTAGTGACTGAAAAAAAATGTTTGCATTTGTTCATTTGACTAATGGTGTCATTTTTGTTTTGATATTGTTAGACTTGTAATGTTTTAAAATGTATTTTTATGAAATCTGGACTGGATGTATGTCTCTAGCAATACGAGGTACTTTTTAAACTATTAAGGGAGGGGTGATATCCCCGTGTTGAGATAAGATGATGGTTGTTTAAATTTGCAATTTTTTTTTTTTGGCCTGCAGGGATATTTTGTGTTCATGTGTCCAAAAATGAATAAATTGGCATTCTTTTGCCAAACGTTGTTTTGTTTTGTTTTGTCGACTGCCTAATAAATATAGATTATTCTATCATAGCAATACACATGGTTACTTTTTAAAAAGTTTGAGAAAGAAGAACAATGGGAAACTTAATGTTTTTAACTCCTGGGTCTCCCTATTTTTAGAAATTGTTATTTGGGAAATTTAGAAGAGCTTCTTGGGACATTTCACATGTGAAAACTTACAAGCTTCATCCAGGTTCTGGGTATAGCTCTGTAACAGGAAGATCTATTTCAGTGGTATTCTGAGAAAAATCTGCAGGCTCCAGAGGGCAGTATGGCCACGTACTTTATTAAGGCTGACTTCTTGAGAGGAGGAGCTGCCTGAATTTACCCATCCTGGGGCTATCCAATCTCCTGTCTTTTAATTTGTAACAGCAAAGCTCTTTTGTTAAGTTATGACAAGGATAATGCAGAGATTTACACAATGCGGCACTTATACTCAGGTAATTTATAGTTTACCAGAGGACCAAGTCCTGCTAACAGCCAACTTTACTACAGGTACTTATTTTTTTCCATCAGTACAATATCCTTTTCTCCATATTTGTTATCAATCATTTATCATGAACCCAGAATATGCCAAGCTCTGCCTAGGTTGGAACACAGAAAAGTAAAAACTTAATTCTTCAAAGAATTCCTTTTAACATAGCATAAGGTGGGGAGGAGGGGGCAGCAAGATTCACATTATCTGAGTGCCCAGTGTATGCAGTCACTTTATATTGACATCTTCAATCCCCAAAAGAGTCCTTTGAGGTCGATAGTGGTAGCCCCATTTTAACGATGAGGATTCAAAGCTAGAATCTGAATCCAGGCCTATCTAACTTCATTATACCTGCTACTGAGCATGAAGCTACAGGAACTTAAAAAGGGAAACAACTTTTGTGATGGGACGTCAGGAAAGACTCTACAGCATCATGAATTTTGGCGTAGTTCATGAAGCATGAGACTGCCATGTGGACAAGAGGGGACAGGGGGATTCTAGACATACTGTCTCCTTACAGTAGGTTATAGTAGCTATAATGTTTATCTACCCAGATTCTTTCACTTACTACTTCTTTAGGTAATGGAATCCCTCTTTCCTGCGGGAACCCCATGATTTTGTGTGTTTCAAGTGAGTCCAAATGGCCTTCTTCCTGCCTCATCTGCCATTTGTGTCACGTTCATGTGCATCCGTGGGGGTGTGCGGCTACAGCTACAATGGATCATGTGCCCACTGTTGTTGGGGAGGGGTGGTTGCAGTGTGGCCAGCAAGCAGGGAAGTCACAACATCGTTACAAGGCCTG